GAAAGCCCCACTGAAGTTACCACATGTAGTGAAATGCAAGAATTAGATTTTCAGTACTGCCACCTCTCATGATTTTACTGAAAGACTTGTGATAACTGGTGTTTTTCTTAAAGCCTCCTAATAATATTTTGAGGACTAACTCACGTTTTTCAACTCCTGGCATTGGCAACAGTGGATTTTTTTTCTGAATTCTACTTATTCTACAAATCAGCTCTCTGGTTTCCCAGTCCTAGGGTTTAGCATGTACTGCTAAACGCTTCTTCCAAAAACAAGTCCTGCATTAATTAATACCTGTGGTGTGAAGAAAGATGAGCTATTGATGGCTGTAGGACACGTACCTTGGGAAGCACCTCTTGCTAGGGATCTTAACTCAGTGGCTCAAAATGTTTTCTTATTAAAGTTTTAATTTAATGCACTGTGCCACAAGACAACTAAATGACACATGAAGCAAAGGGAAAAATTAAAAACATAGGAGCTAATCATAGGAGAACAAACTTATGTAAACACATTTTCAGAACAATAGAGAAGAGAATTAGAAATAGTTTAAGCATGAAGGAAAATGACAAAACAGTCTGAAAACCTGACTGATTTGATTACTAAACATAATCTCAAGACGACACACAGTAATCAGCACTGACAGAATCATCAACCAAACCTGAATCCCAATGGCACTTTGTCAGAAACCAGCACTCTATTAATTAGCCGACATATGAACAGATAGGAGCAGGTCTTCAATAGCTTATTAAAAAATTGTGACTATATTTATATAACAAACTAAAACTATTTCTATAATTACGTGTATAATAATATCAACATAATACATTTCCTAATTCCTTTCCAATTAAGGTTACAGTTGCATTCTGCAACTTACATTTTTACCATTATATAGTTAGAAAAATGGTATTTTTGAGGATTTTGGCTTTTTGATTAAACTTCTTTTTAACAGCACCAAACATGTGAGTCACTCACCTGATGTGCATCCAGATCTATAATAGTGGCCTTAGACACTCCTTCTACTCTTTCAAATAAAAACTGGAATCATAGGTATATACAGAAGAAAGAGAGAAAATAACACAGTTAAGAAAATAAATGAGACTAGAATGGAAGTTTGCACTGGCAATGGCACATTTCATCCTCAAACTGAATGTAGTATATATATTTCTTATTTGCCAAAAATTAAGGGCTAAATATTCTAAAACACTTTATTATGGAAACAACAATGTGTGAAGGAATAATTACATTCAGTACTGAGAGGTTTCTTTATAGTTTGAAAACTACAGGCAGTCCCCGGGTTACATACAAGATAGGGACTGTAGGTTTGTTCTTAAGTTGAATCTGTATGTAAGTCGGAACTGGCGTCCAGATTCAGCCGCTGCTGAAACTGATCAGTTTCAACAGTGGCTGAATCTGGACGCCAGTTCTGACTTACATACAGATTCAACTTAAGAACCC